CCCCCCCCCCCCCCCAAAAAAAAAAACTGAACATGCAGGCCGGAAAAGAACTTGGAACAGTCGTTAAATTTTCTTGCGAGACAGCCCACAAATCTCTCCGGTAACCGCATCAAACCGAGGTGAAAATCTCGCTGGTTGCTCACTAGCAGCAGTCCCTCTATGCCCCATGTCAAATGTGTACCTCGAAGGACAAACGAACAGCAATGAGGGTGAGGGGAACGACAATGACAAACGAGGAGAGAGAGGGAGAGGGAGCAGAGAATGAAAACCGTGCCACCAAAACACAACACCACTTGATGTTTCTTCTCACCGGCACTTCTTGCACGTGCACGGGTTGTGCTGCTCCGCTGCGGCTGCCGCGCTTGGAGGGGGAGAGCGAGTGTCGTCAACCTTGACTCCCGCCGCCGTCATGTTCAGCCGCTTTCCCGCCGCCTGCTTCTGGCGCTTTGCCGCCAGGCAGCTCGCCACCGTCGCCGCCGCCGCCGCCGCTCCGCTTCTACACCACCCACGAGGCAGCGGGAGGAAGGGGGAGAGGAGAGCATCATCGCAATGCACGTACGGAAAGGCAACAAGCCAAGGCAACTAAGAAGGGGTTGTGAAGGACGCTCAGAGTCCGCAAGAGCACGACAAGTAAGTGACACGCCACTTCCCCTCCACACTACAGAAGTCCAACAAGACGGAAAGTCAACGGAGGACAGGCGGCGGGCGCACCGCATCCCCGGCCGGCCTCACCCGCCATCGCCGCCACCTCCACCGTCACCACCGCTCCCGGCGACCGGGCTCCCGACCACCATCTCCCCGGCTTTCCCGTCGGGCCTCGGCCGCGTCCGGCTCCTCCGCCCTCCTCGTCGCGCCGGCCCCTTTCTCGATTCACCGTGGTCGTCGTAGTCGTCATCATCCAGGGTAAAAGACATCGATCGGCCGCTACCGCTACCGCTACCGCTACCGCTACCGCCGTCTCGCCTCCTCTTCTTTCTAGCGGGCGCGCCGACCACCACCGCCGTCGTCGCCGCCGCTGTCTCCTCCTCCGGAGTCGGTCCTGCTCCGAGATTGTCGTCACCACCGACGCTAATGCCGCCCATTTCGTCGTCGTCGTCGTTGGAGTAGGAGTAGTCGATTTCGTCGTTGGGGGTCCTCTTGCGGCGGCCTCTCATCGGCCGGGGTTCGTGGCGCACGGCGGCACCCGCAGCCGCCTGCTGCTGCTGTCGACGGCCGCTGTCAGCGGGCGTAGTCGTCGCAGCGGCGGGGTCAGCAGCAGCAGCAGCAGCAGCAGCAGCAGCAGCAGCTTCACCGTCGGCAGCGGAGGTAGGGTTCGATGCTCGCGGGGGAGCCGCGGGGGTGAACGGCGTCGCCCGTCCTACAGCCGAACAAGCCCGGTCCTCGGCCCCGCCCCCGACCTCGCCGGGCCCGGCTCCGCCGCAGACCTCCAGAGTACGCCGGGTGGACCGCGGCTTCGGCGACAGGGAGAACGACGACAGCATCAGCGACAGCGGCGCCGCTCGTCGATCCTTCTTCCTGTGCTTGGCCGCCGCCGGGGTCGGTGGCGGGCTGGCGGCGGCGGCCATTTGCGAGGCGGCGGCCGGGATAGAGGTGCCGATAGCGGCTCCGATACCACGCACCGCTGCTGCTTCCGCAACGGAGGCGGTGGCGGTGGCACCGTTGGCAGCAGCAGCAGCGGCACTGCCCCCGCCGCCGCGAAGCTGCGGGGAGGAGGACGACGCAGGCGGCGGCGTACCCACGGCGAGGACGGCGTCTCTGGCGGCGGCACCGGTGGCGAAGGCGGCGGAGGCGGCGACTGGGATAGAGATGGGGGCCCCGCTACCGGCGTTTGCTCCGTTCCGACAGGCCGCATTGGACATCGCCGCCGCCACCGCGGCCGGAGACGACGAATATTCTCCCCCTCCTCCCTCTCCTCCTGCTCCTCCTCCTCCTGCTGCTGCTACTGGTGCTGCTGCCGCTTCGGGGTGACCGAGACCATTCCCACTGCCGCCCCTCTGCTGCGCGGGACTGGTCGTTGTGCCGCTGCCGCCGCCGTCTAGCGGACTGCCTGAAGCGGCCCTCTTGGCGCTGCTGCGTCCCACGACGTCGCTCATCGCCGTGCTACAGAAGTCACGTCCACCATGACCGGCGGCGGCGGGCGCGGCGTCCGTCTCCCGGTCGCATGATACCGGTGTGACTGCAGGTACAACCATAGCAGCACGGGTAGCGCTTGGGTCTCCAGGAACAGCGAGCTTAGCTTCCGCAGGAGACGTAGCGGTGGCGGTAGCGAAAGAGGACGACGACAGCGATGAAGGAACTTCATGGTGCCGATTGCCGTCGACATCGTTGCCACCGTTCATGCCCGGCGGCGCGACCTTCCGCTTGCTTTCGTCCGTGGCGCACTTCACGTTTTTCTTCCCCACGTTCTTCGGCTTGGCCTCCGTCTTCTTCTTCGTCTTCTTCCTCAGGGTCTGGCCGCCAACCCCTCCACCCCCATCGCCTGCCGCCGCTGCTGTCGCCACCGCCGCCGCCGTTGCGGCAGGGTTGATGCTGTGCATCGACACCAGCTGCCGCTTCCGCTGCACATGAGCTACCCCGACGGCCCCCTTGCCATGCATGCCTCCGGCGCCGCCGGCGCCGTCTTCGGCGCTTCCCTCTTTCGGCAACATCATCGGCATGGGCATAGGCACGGGCAGGATGGAGGGACCCAATGACCACGCCGGGTCTAGGGAGTCATCATCATCGAGTCTGTCGGCGCTTTTCGTTTGGGAGCGGCGGCATCCGGCAGGACGTGGGCAGCAGGGGAAAGGGAGAATCGGTCGAGAAGTTTCCTGAGTCTCTTGTTTCGCTGGTAACTTCTGTTCCGTAGTATACGGTATAGCGATACGAGATACTGGTATCAGCCCATTCTTGCAACCTCTTCGATTCCTTCATGATTTCTGGTACCGGTACAAGGCTAAATTATGACTGGTGCGGCGGCAGCACCCCAAGTGTCAAGGTTTAGGGGGAAAGAAAGTCCGATATCATCCCCGCTTGGTGCAAACGTGAATCGAACAGCGGACCCAAGATCAACGTTGTTGCAATCAAAAACATTCTTGTCGCCGCGTCTCCTCGCAACTTACGTACCTCTGCGACTCCGATCCCTGACATCCGTCCCACCAAGCCTGCCCGGGATTAGCGTTGACCTCTCCAGTCCCCCCTCCTCTCCCGTCTGTTCCAATCGGTTCGGGTTCACACGCCGCTCCTCGCCCCCGCTCCCCGCGGCCACCAACACTGCTCCCGTCCGCACCCCCAGAAAAGTGGGCAACGATGGCGCCTCCGCTACCACCGCTGCCTTCTTCATCTACACCCTCGATGTCGCACGGCAACGGCAAGGCCTTGTTGCCTTCGCCGCAACCACGGCCACCACAGCTACCGCTACCGCCGCCGCCGCCGTCGCTGTCGCCGTCGCTGTCGCTACCACCGATCCTGCCGCCGTCGCTGCCGCTTCCGCGACAGAGGTTGTGGTTCTTGCAGCCGCCTTCGATCGGCGAGAGCTGCGTGCCGGCGAAGATGTGGAACGGGCTGAGCGGGGAGGACGGCCGCGAGATCGTCGCCCTCCAAGGCGAGGCCGCCACCCCTTCGATAGCGGCGGAGGCGCCGCCGCCGCGGCTGGCGTTGCTGCTGCTGTTGCTCCTGCTTGGCGTCCGGGGGCTGGCGATCGCCGCTGCCGCCGCCGCCGGGCAAGGGTCGCCGCCCCCGCGGAGCAACCGCCCTCCCGCTCCCGCCCACCCACCCCGCGCCCCGGCCATCATGCGGTCGCCGTTGCAGCTGCTGCTGTTGCTGTTCGTGTTGCTGGGTGACAGCGGGCTTACTTGGCTCACGGACGGCGACATTTTGTTGAGATCCCTCACGTAGCTGCCGTTGCTCAAGTTGCCGGAGGTGGTGGCCGCCGCCGCCACGGTTTCGCCTGCTGCTGCTGCTGCATGCGGCGGGAATTCTTCCGGTTGGGACAGAGCGGGGGGGCTAGGCCGGAGGGGTGGGGTACCGACCTCCGCTACAAGGCCTCGGGGGATTGGTGGCGGGCCGGCAAGGGTGTTCTCGTCCGGAGGGGAACTGTCAACATCGACATCGTCGTCGGCGTCGGAGTTGTAGTCGTTGTTGCTGACGGACGGAAAAGGACAATACGACGGCGACGCCATGATTCTCCCGCTGATGTATCTCTCAAACGCGCGTTTCGGTCGGTGGTGTGCCTGCCTCTCTGCACCGCTGCTTGCGTTGACAGGAACGAGATTACTGTCGTGCGCGTGTCGCAGGGCACGCTCTTCACGCCTTGTACGTCGGTTGGAAGGGCGGCCCTCGGGGCTACGGCTGTGGCTCTTTCTCGGTTACCGTTGCTGTGGAGGAGATGACGGTGCGGTGTTGAAGTGTTGAAGGGACGGAAACGGCCGAGTGAGGTGAGGGAGCAGTGGGCAAAGCGCCGTGGGGGACAACACAACATTAGAACTCTTGAGTACCGCTGGTGCTGTTCGTTGTTCATTCCTCCAGTGATTATACTCTCCGCGAACTCGTGGACTTTTGAGGTCCATCTATCGTCTAGTTGCGACGGGAGACGGGAGCCATCTCCATCTTACTGGGAACTGATATCACTCGGTCGGGGGGCGAGAGTGCCATCCAACCACAATACTCGTGTTCTCATGCAACAGCAGTCGAGGGGGCATCTCTTCTGTGTCTCTATCTCAGGCTGAACGGGAGATAGATACGCTAAAGATTATGTCACACACGCGAGGTACGCAGCAGCAGCAGCAAGAGCCGACACCATTTATGATAGCCATATCTTGATGGTTCCTTCCATCTCCACCAACTACTTGCCTAACTGCTTTGCGAACCCGTGTTGCAGACCACCCTGCTGCCTCCTCTGGAGGGGGGATTGCGACACAAACAACATATGTGCTCTTCTTCCACGTCATGTTCTCGCCCCCAAAAAAAGTCGAGCCTAAATTCTCGGCCCACGAGCTGGCGGCGGGCCACGCTTTTCACCATCGTAGTTGCGTCTTTCACTGGTCGGCTTCTGCTCCGCACACCTCCGCAGCTGTCGCGTGCACACAGGCAACAGGTTCAAACGTATTTTGTGTTCTGTATTTCAAAGAACAACTGCATACCTTGTCGGGGCCCAGGCCCCCTGCCTGAGCAACGCGTTGCTTTCCCTCCGGCTCTCTCTATGCGCACAGTAGTCGTTGCGCCTCGCCTTCCTCTGCGCTCGTTCTGTTTCTCAATCCAAACGCCCGTGCTTCAAGCTGCAACGGCGGCGCTCGCGCACGACAGACAGAGAGAGAGGTTGCCTCAAAAGGGGTTACGCGGTTGCGATTCAAAAGAAGTGTCTAACTTGAACAGAGTATCGTTAAACATGGCGGGGGGACATATCCAGAAATTTCAAATTTCAAATTTACCAATAATGCCCCGTTTTTCGCGCCAATTTGCAAGAACGCTTGGCGTCTTGCTCATACAGCAGTATACACAGCGAATATTTGCTCACAGTTTAGGCCACCTCCTCATCGGTTTGCCCGTGCGTACGCGTAGTTTCGCCAGCGAGATTCTTCTTCAGACTCTGTACGTTTGTTCGCGTCGCTCCATCGATGTTCATTTATTTTTGGTCGGTCAGAGGCCGCCCTTGTTTTTATTGTTCGATCGAAGTCGATCCACTTCATCACGAGATCACACGCCACAATCTGTCACAAATCATACAACATACACAGACCACAATGGTGCTACGGGCATGGCGATAATTGGCGGAGCACGGCACGCATCAGCGATGTCAAAATGTGATCTATTTGTTTTTTGAGGGGTCATCACCACGTGTAATCACATTCCGGCTGACGGCCACTCTCATGTCAAGTTTTTGCCATTTTTTTGCCACCGAAGGCGCATGTATCGAGAACAAAATAATAAGCCGAGTTGCTTTATAGATTGATGTACTCTGTCCCTGCAGATATGATGCGGGTCGCTTAAAGGCTCTCCATCCACGATCTTTTGATAAAAATCGGACGAGATCGGACGTTGTCCTACTCGATTAAGCCGCGGGTTCGCGAGGCTTGGAGCTTCGCATCTCAGGCAGGCATGCTGTTGATGTTGGTATTCCCGATCTCCCGGCCATTCCACACCCTTCTCTCGTTAAGGTACACCCAAACAAAGCTCACACCATTGCACAGCTTTCAGCCGACCCTGGAGATCACACTTTCGCATACAAAAATGAATATTTATACATACTTAAAACTTGGGAAACGGCTCTAAGGCATGAATCGAAAAAAGGAGTCACAGCAACCCGAACGTACCACACCACATAATGGCAAACAACGCCGTTCGCCCAAGTCTGCAAAATGCTCAAACTCCGCAAGACAACAGAGAAGGAGCTTCCTTCCAGCGGACCGGCCAACTCATACTCGTGCGAGAAACACGATCATCGCACAATGAACCCGGGCGGGCTCTCAGACTTGACGTGAAACATAGCGCAAGCAAAACCCGTCGCCGGCGCTAGAAACTCGGAATCCTGTGCTCGCTCCATCATGACGACACCTCTCTCTGCACGAAACGAAAGCACACGTGTGTCTGTCTAACGCGCATGCCGCGCGCGGGAAAACAGAAGAGACAACAAGCGGCTCAACTCACTCAAAGCACCAAATCTGCATACTTAAATAGCAGACCTCCGTGTGGTCCGCCGGCCATCTCCACCACCCGATTCTCACTCGGCAAACAGACAATACTTCGGCATTTTGTTGTCGATCCAGACAACAATTCCCTCTGCTCCATGACCGAACCAACGGCACAGTATCCTGCATAGATGCCATCGAAAGATTTAAGAAGCCAGCACTCGGCCTCTCACCGCACACACCGGCCTGTCGGGTGTTTGCAGTAGCAAACACCGAATAACGGCATGAAAAATGGTGTGCGCCATGTGCCAGTCAACGACACTGCGCACCCAAAATCCCCCTCCTCCTCATGGTCGTTTCATGAGACAACACGCGGCGACAGTTTGCCGCACATTTTTGCGATGGAAAAAAGCTACGCAGTCCTATGTATTCTAGCGATGCAACTTTTCCCCATCTATATCCCCGCCGTCGCAGGCGCACTGACTGCGACAAATCTACCTACCTATCTAGCCTTGACAACGGCGACGACCCTCCTCCCTATCATTGTCTGTCGTATCAGTGCGGGAGTCCACACCTCGGGTCACATTGTTGGCATAAAAGATGAAGGAAAGACGGTGCAGCGATCGTTCGTGGGCGCACACGTGCGTAGAGAGGGAGCACACATGGCCCACGCATCGCCCACTGGACCCAGATTCGAAGCGCCCAAGCAATTAGACGACGAGAGATGCACTGGCTCGGCGCATCGCCTCTCTCGCAATACACACCCACCCACTTGCCATTGCCAAACGCCCTACTACTGTCTCACCTGCCACAAACTTGACAAAAAACAACGAGAAACAAACGAATCAAACTTGGTGAGATTATTCCCAACCCCTTTTGGCACAGTGCATCTACAATCCCCACGTGCCGTTCGCTGTTCCTGCCGCCCATGGCATGACAGACACTCCCGCCGCAGAACATATGGCCCAGCTGCGGGTAGTCTCCAAACCAATTTCACGTCATATGTTGCCTTTTTGCTGGTGTTGTCACCGCAAGCATCGAACAAAAAAACACGTTCATTCTTGAAACGCCCACGCCTTCCAAATATTTTGTACTCCACACGAATCTAGAAGTCGTCCTCGTCGTCGGACTGGCAGTCTCCGTAGCGCCACATGTTGGCCCTGCTCTTGTGGGCGTGCTCCTGGGACTCCCTCAGCCGGGCGACCATCTCCTTGGCAGGCTTCATTGCGGCGGGGGCGCGGGGGCGGGGGAGTGGAGAGATTGTGTGGCTTGGTGAAGTGGGTTGATGATGGGTGAGAGCACAAAAACGGGCGCTTGGGTGAGTGCGACGATAGCCTTGCACAAGAAAAGTATATTTTTGATAACCAAAATCGAAGAGACAGAGCAGAGCAGTGACCGAGCACGCTCGAATCTTGGATGCGGGGGGTTTACTGTAGCGGTGCAGCCATAACCACCTACAAACGAGAAGGCAGGATGTCGAAAGACGAAACCGGGGAGCTCGGGCGCTGGCAACGGTGCGAAGCATGACACAACGCCCTTGTGGAGATTGCACGAATACGGCACGGTAGTGAAGGTGGTGGATACTCTGGTTGTAGTAAAGTTCGCGACAGCGGCGAGTAGCAGCCCCAACAGACAGCTGGGACGAAGCTACGTATGATTCGTGCATGCGCAACCATTGCAGAGACCAAGAGGGAGAGAGATATAGGCTTGCGGGCGTACAGAAACACGGCGGACAGCATCCGTGGGAATGACTTGAGATGCTCTCCGGATGCCATGGATGCGGCTGCGGAGGAAGTGAACGTGACGGGCTGGGCGTCCTGCGCGGATGTTGAGGTTTGCTGCACCAATTCAAACACACGAGCACACACTCGCGCGGCCAACAAACCTCAACAGAGAAAAAAAAAACTGAGCCCGGGGGCTCGAAAACAAGTTGACCCGCACGCGCACGGGGAGTCCGCCGCCGTAAGGCTGGCTGGCGTGCATCATTCGATCGTCCACTAGGCGCGGCCGATACAAACTGAAAACACAGAAGACACTGGAGACACACGCTTCTAGTTTCGCGTTTACAACTTAAACAACAGTATCCCGCGAAAACTACTGGCGTGTATTAATCGGTCAGCTGGTTTGCGCGATTTAACAGATGGTACACACCTGGGATGCGGCAAGCT